CAAAAACAGACATCTGAAATTATCTAGGAACAGGGGAAAACAGAAGAAATAATATATGGTGGTACAACAAGATTAGTGTTTCCAACAAGTATTCGGAACCCACTCTGGATTACAGAATATCAAGCAGGACAATTTGTAAATAAGAGTGCTTTGAGTGCATTTTGGTTTACAACGCTGAGGAGGGGCAGAGAAGAAGCCCTGGGTGGGCACAGCAGCCTCCCAACACAGCCCACAGGGATACACTGTGGAGCACTTGCTCCATGTGCCCAGGGGGCTCAGCAATCCCAGGCAGGGGCCTGTGGCTCTCGAAAGAGCCTGGCAGCCTGAGACTGAACTGAGCCTTTGAGCAGAGATGGCAGGGGTCTGCGGAAATAACAAAGCTACCCATATATCCTATTCTTGTAAGTAAAGTTGATACTGACCTGATAATAAAACTATGCTTTTTTACATAAACTACATCTGCCAAGAAAAGATTTCTTAATTTAAAACCACAAAAAAACTACACAAAACTTTACGAATATTCATAGCTATAAAATAAAGGAGGAGGTACTGAAATTGAATTCTTGAGGAAGATTACGTAAAGCAATCAGGGAAAAAAATGTCCCCCTGCCCATCACTAGCAGGCCCTCACCTCCCTGCACGGGAACAGCGTCGGCAGCGCTTCTCGACAGGCAGCCAGCTTTCCCAGCGAAGTGTTCCCTTCCAAAGTATCACATACCCTGCTACTGCCAGCGACTCAAGTATCAGATTAAAGGGATAAATAGTTCTGTCCTCTTGCAGTAAGTAGGGGCCAAGGATCTCAGCTTTTAAACTACAATATTTACCATTAAATACATAATGTAAGATAGATATTAAAGTACTGTAATTATGAGTAACTAGAGTATTTTATTTTGTTTAAGTCTAAGGAAACCACTTCCAAACCTTTTACTCCTTCTTCATAGTTACTACAATTTATCTTCTGGCCTTCCAGAAGGCATCTTTGCTTGTAAAGCCTTCCACCTTTCTGCTGATTATATTTTAATAATCTGTGGCAAGAAGGAAGGTCATCAACATAAACCACAGGTACTATATATTTGACATTCCTTCCAGCTGCACTTGCTGACCTGTTCATTTAAAGTATCTGTGATCTGTACTAACCTATCTGGGTGAGAGACTCCTTTAATTAATACAAACAGGAAAAAAAAAAAAGCTATGCAAGTGTGCAGTATTCAGTAAACAAGGACATGCTATGTTCACATAATTTGAGAGAAACAGAAGCTGGAAAAGAAGGACTGAATAACTGCCGTGTAAGATGGGCTTTGAAGAGAATTGTTTCATGCTCAGCATCTTTCCCCTTTACATTTAAAAATCAATTAGGTTGTTTTCCAAAAACTGTAAATAGCTTCCAAAGGCTGCAAATAATTCCCCACTTTAAGTATGAATGTCAATGAACTCATTCAAAATCATCTTCAAATGTCAGAAAAGATTAACATGTCCTGGTCACAGAAGGGAGGTCAGAAGAAAGCGCACGCTTTTAGCCTTTACTCGGGTGGGCACGATCCAAAGCCAGCCTGAATCTATGGGAAAACTCTAGAAAGGGACCCAGCATGGCAAAATTCCACAACAAGTGCTCAAAACACAAGAGACCAGAAACAATCTGAGATCAATAGCTTCCAGGTCATTAATCCTAGGCAGGTGACATCCAGTGCACAGTTCGCTACTCTCTTTCACCCACACATTCAAGAAACCTGACTCGATTGGCATCTAGTAGCTCTAAATATTTTCCATGTTTTGCCTTTATCCTTCCCCTATTTGTTTGGCATATGGCTTTCTAGCATCCCATTAATGTCAAACCGTTTAATCGGAATGTAAGCTAAATGCACAGTTTGCTATTTCCTGGATTTCTGTTTGGCAGCCAATGCTTTTTATGAGGAAAATAAAAGCAAAGGTCAGTATGACCAGAAAAGAAAAGTCATCTTCCATAACGGAAGCTTATTTTTCCAGTGAACTGATACACAAGCCTAATTTAGAAAAAGGTCCTTTAGTATCATGTTATTATTAGTAGTATCACAAATAAACACAGAAACCAATTCACTTTACAGACCTCCACATTAAGCATTCAATAGAAAATCCCTTGGTGTTTTATTGATTTTTGTTTTATTGATTTTTTAAATAGCAATATCACAGTTAAAATGTATCATTTTGGTGAAACACATCTAAAACTTTTCCGTCTCGAAATAAGTTATTACAAATTATTTCCACAGCAACTGGCAACTAACGATTCAATCCATTTAAAGAACAACAAAGTAATGGCTTTATTTGGATGCCTTTTTTGATTAAATCACATATTAACCTTGATGAAGCTTTCCAAAAAGGGATTAGCGTACTCAAGTGCATCAGCTGATTATGAGACAAATATAACAGTGATAAGATGCTGGTTCAAAATTTTTCAATCTGATGAGTACAACAATTTAGCCGCTAGGATGGAGTTGGCTCTTCCAGTTTCCATCTCAACAGTAAAGTGTCCACCCAGGATACAAAAAGACATCACCCAGCTAAAGTATGCAGTAACTGAGAGTTAGGAAAGGTCGCTTAAATCACCAAACTGAGTAGACCAAAATAGTCTGCATAATTACTGTAATGTCAGAAATAATTTAAAATAATTCGTAAAGAAAGAAGAATTAAATGTATTAGAGGGGAAATCCAGAAAGCAAATACAGATTTATCTTCCCATTTTGACCAAAACTCACTGACCCACTTTGCTTTATTCGTCTATACTGTAATAATACATTTTGCATACCTATTGTATATCCTTTCCATTAATTTATTTGCTTAATGGATGTATAAGTAAGTCTACTACAATTACGCTTTTTAAGGGTCAAATCCTACTCACTTCTGAACCCACTACTGTAATTTCTACTACACTGGATGATAACACAGCAGACCTCAGGAACAGCTGAAACACAGCCGATTCTGTGCTGTTGACATAATCAAGCCATGTTACAATCAGGCTGCCAAACCCCTTTATAACCCTGCCAAGTCCAGGAATTGGTGTCTCCATAAGCCCCCAACCACCCCCGATAAAAAAGAAAGTTTCTGTATTTCTTAATTCTACATGTTCAAATTAAAATTCACACGGTTATGACTGTGGCAAAGTAAAACTTCCATGAGTTTATTTTAAGGACCAAATCTTGGAACTCTTACAGAGTTGTTGCAAGTTACACACCACACGGGCACACACACACACACACACACACAAAAACCCCAACCCAACAATTGTCTAAGAGCAGCTATTAATATTCATGTTGATTCCACATGAAACAACAGCAGAGTTACCCGAGCAGCTACAGTTATGTCAGCGCTTGGAAGTTATTCCAGGCTGTTTTGTCCTGCTGCCCTGAATATTCAGGAACTTCAACAATCCATCCAGCAACTGCTACCGCAGAGTAAGTGCTCTGCTTCGCCTGGCTCTATGCTAATGACTGCCAGGCACCCTCTGCTGAATCGGGGGGGGATGAAGGGAAGGAGGAGGGGATGTCACACGCCCCGCCATTGGGGACGGGACGGGCAGGAGCACGGCATCGCGTGGGGTTAATTTCCCCACGTGTTGGTTGTTGCTGCACCTTGAAATCTGACAATAGGAAAGTGAAACGAGCCCGGTCTGTTTGTTTGGGTGTATTGAAAGTAGCATCGGGACTTTGTCCACGACCTCCTTCCTCCGTGGGAAGTTCCCGCCGCCCCTCCAGCGCGGCACAGCCCGAGCCCCCCGCCCCTGCCTGAGGCAGGGCAGAGCCCCCGGGAACTGGAGGCGCTTCCGACCGCTCTGATCTCGGGGTCACGGCAGTTATGCGATCCCTTCTCCTTAGCGAGCAGATTCAGCCCTGTAACCTACAGATTGAGAGATAACAGCCCCACGCTTTCGCCCTCCATTGCAAAGGCGGCTGCTATTGCATCAGGAATTTCCTCTTTTGCCTGCTCCTTCTATCCCCCCGACACTCCTCCCCGGCTGTGGCAAGTTTGGGGCTCGCCTCCCCCCCCGCGCTCTCCCCGGCCCTCGGGATGCGGGACAGCCCCGCACCGTCCGCAGCCGCAGCGCTGCTCGGCGCCGTCCCCGCCACCGCGCCCGCGTTACTCTGCGCGGCAGCAGGATCCAGCCTTGCCAAACCCCCGCCGCGCTCCCGCTGCCCCCCGTCTCCTCCTCGGCTGGTGAGGGCCTGGAGCTGCTCGCACCTGCTCCTCGGGGACCGACACCCCCACCCCACCACCCACCGAGGAAGCAGCCCAGCCCGGCCGCCTGGCACCTCTCCCCACTACCCCAAAGAAAAGCTGCCTCCACCTCCTCCTCCTCCTCGCCGTCTTCCCGCCCTGCCTTCACCTCCCCCGTTCGCCATGTGGCAACTGCCTTACAGCCCTACACAAAAAGTGCACGTGCCCCCTCGGATGTGTGACAGCAGCTGATGGCCAAGCGGCCTCCATCGCTCCGAACGGGCCCGGCGCCCCATCCCAGTTAACGCGACACCCCAGTGCCTGTGTCGCCGTCCCCCCATCAGGACCGCTCCCCGCCCACTCCCGTGCACCCTTCGGGCGGCTTTTTCCCAGGGTTGCCCGCTTTAAAGATACATCCAAGGATAAACTTCAGCTGGAGGTTCGGTCAGGAAGCACTTTCTGGCCCCTTCCCACCCTCGCCGGCCCTCCGCTCCCGCGCTGCGCTGCCCGCGGCCACCCCTACCCCCGGCACGCCTCGGCCCGGGGGGCAGGGATGGGGACAATGACAGGGCGACACTTGCAAGGCGCAGCGGGAGGGGGGCACGAACACGGCTTCCCCTTCCCCCCTCTGTCCCTCCGTCCCACCAAGGAGCAGCGCCGCTGGCTGCGGAGAAGGCCGGCTGGGTGCCGGGGCAGCGCGGAGGGGGCAGCGGGAAGCGGCGCAGCGCTCGCCCGGACCGCACCGCGCGGGGGTGGGACGGGGGCGGCGGCGGCGGGGGGGCCGGCGGGGCGCGCGTGTGCCTTGCGGCGCTTACCTGGCGTTGGTGCAGTCATTGTACAGGGTCTCGAAATCCTTCCTGGAGATGAGTTTGCAGCGGTTGACCCCGGGCTGGATGGCCCCCAGCCCCCTCAGGATGCGGACCTGCTCCACGTTGCAGACCACGGGCGTGATCTCGAGCCGCTTCAGCTTGGTGTAGACCGTGTGCAAGCCCCCCACCAAGTGCTTCAGGAAGAGGTCGAAAGCCTGGGGCAGGCAGATGAGTTCGCAGCCTTCCACGGTGAAGGAGGCCACTTTGGCCCCCCTCAGATCCACCATCTTGCACTCGTTATTCTGGGGGGTGTTCTCCACCGGGGACGGGGTCGAGTACACGGGCTTGCCGGGCAGGCTGCCGGCCGCGCTGGCCGCGCTGGCATTGGGAGTGGAGGTGCCGCCGCTGCCGCCGCCGCTGCTGCTGCTGCCGCCGCCGCCGCCGGTGCCCAGGCTGGGGCTGCCGCCGCCGCTGCCGTTACCGCCGCCGCCGGTGGTGGTGGAGGTGACTGTGGCCGCCGCCGCCGCCGCTGCGATGGGCTCCGGCCGGAATAGGTTTGTCCCCGAAGCGGCCGGCGGGGGAGCGATGGACGGAGACGGAGAGGAGGTGGCCGACGACGAGGTGGCCGACGACGAGGTGGTGGTGGTGGTGGTGCAGGCGGCAGAAGTTGAGACCGGAGGCTGAGGGGGGACCAGCTGGGTCGGAGGGATCAAAGCAGCCGGTACGGCCATGGTCACATATACGGCGGAGGGGGCAGGGGGAGGGGGGAAAGTTCCCACACACACACGCAGGGGAAAGGGGAAAAATTAAAAAAATTATTTAAAAAAAAAAAAAAAAGAGGAAAGGAGAGAAGGGAGGAGGGGGGAGAAGAAGGGGGGGATAACCCCAGATCAGGTGCTGCGGCGAGCGAGAGAGCAGGGGGCAGAGTGAGAGAGAGAACGCACAAAGTGTCCCGCAAGTGGGGACGGAGGAGGAGGAGGAGGAGGAGAAGTCCGCTCCGGGCGGCGGGGCTGGGGCCGAGGGGAGGGGGAGGGCAGTTTCTTTTTGTGGTCCTTGCTCTAGCACCACGTTAAAGACGAAGGTGAAAAGGAGGAGGTTTGAAGGACTTCGGTTCTCTCTGGCAAGTACATTGATCAAAGATTGAGAGGGGAATGACAGAGAGAAAATGAGCGGGGAAGTGCTGGCTGCTGCCGCCGCCGCCGCCGCTCGCTCGCTGGACGAGTTGTTGTTGTCACACGGTGCGGAGGGGAGGAGCTCCGGCAACTTGAAATACCCTTTGAAGCAGCAAAAGGCTCACTCACTAGTATTAACCCAAATTATCCAACCAGGAACCCGGAGCAGGAAAACAGCGAAAGAGGGAGAGAAGTCCCTCTCCCCCCTCCTTCAGGAACCGTTAGATTACATGTTTCATATTTCACCCCACCAGAGATGAGATGTAATTTTCCCAGCCCTTTTCAACAGTCGCTTGTCAACACAGTTTGTGGAGAAACACGAGCGTCTCCAGCGATCCCCCAAAGCCGGGCGGGAGCGGGGGAGCCGGGGCGGGCGCTGGGCACCGCACACCTTGCCGGGGCAGACAAAAGCAGAAACCTCCGGACGGGGCTGTTGCTCTTGCTGCTGCTGTGGCTCTCCCGGGACCACAGACGCTCCTCCCGCCGGGGTGGGAGTTGCTGCCGAGGGTCCCCTTTGTTGCGCGGCGGGCGGCGGCGGCTGCGCGGGCAGCCGCACGCGGCAGCATCCGCGGAGCGCTTCCCTGCGGCGGCCGCGGAGCGCAGGGGACGAGGCACTAGGGCTCAGGCCGCCGAGACGCCGCGCCGAGCGGGCTGCGGCGGCACAGAAGTAACTTGGGAGAGGGGCAGGCGGGCGGCCCGCGCAGGTCCCGCCGCGCAACAGGTGCCGGCGGCGCGCAGCGGGCGCGCAGCCCCGGCGGCTGGAGCGCCGGGCTCCGTCGGGAAAGCCCGGGGCTGCGTTCTGCGTGTCTTGAGGGCACTTCGCACTGTGAAAGGGGTAAAGAAATGGCCACTGGTACAGATGGGGGGGTCTGCAAAATCAGGGGTCGGTGCGTGCGTAGTTCTTCCTGTTTCAGAATCCACCCTGTGTGCACTTAATTGCGATGCATGTATGTGCCCATAGCCTTTTTTTTTTCCCTGTGATACTATTACATGAGACATGACTCACGGGATGACACATCTGTAGAGTGGATAATCTCAACTGTATTAATTTGGTGCAGGGGAATTTCCACAGTATCAGACATAAACTATTCTCATACGATCTGCTTGCTTATTGTACTTTAAGTTTAATTTACGGGAATTTGTTCTAGTGCCACTTAAGACAACTTTTGCTTGTGAAATTTATGCTATCCTGCACTAAAATCTTTAAAATTGCAAATAAAACCATGAAAACATAGAGTAATATTTTACTTTAAAGTTTTGTGTACCCATAATTGTGCAGAACACTTATTTAAGCTAATTTTGGGTGGGGTTTTTTGAGAATGTTTGTCTGGAGGAGCTTATACAAGTTGAGTTCCAGTGGTGGGATCTAGTGTTGCATAAAACTTGTAATTTCAAAACCTAAATACACTGCCTCTTCCTTTCTTTCCCTTGTAGAAAGCCAGCTCTGTCCATATTTTCTTTTCCTCGCCTGTTCTTTTGCATGTCACCTTTTCTCACACCTTGTGAAGACAGAACAGCTCCATAAGAAGATCAGGACAGAGCCAGACACGCGTGATATTGCCACTTGGAGATCTGGGTGAACTCTAAATTAGGAAAGCTGCCACTTCATTTGTTCTCTACTTTTCCTACAACATGATTCCTACACCAGCTCTTCTGTTTTTCTATTTGCTTTGTCTTCCCACAGATACATAATTCTCAGGGTCCAAAGGAAAATGTAGTTTAAAAAGGTTTACTACCAGGGGTTTGGGTTAACCTTGATGATATCAATTCAACACTGGGATTAGAAACCTAGAAAGAAAGATTTTTGAAAAAGTTCGAGATTCCTCAAAGCTTCTGGCACGGTAAGTGTTTCTAATTATTATGGGGAGTGTCTCAATTTAATTTAACTCGCACCTATAGTGACACACTCACATAAACCAATAAATCCTGAGGTCATTCTCTGTAAACTTCTCTGGATTGCATTTCTCTTACTTGCTGATGCTTTCGTGTAATGATATTGTTGGGTGTTTTCTTTTTCTCTCTCTGAGTTGATATCAGCAAAACTCAAATTACTGTAACTGATATTTGAAAATTCTCCCTGTGTCAAGTGAAGACTTATGGTGCTGAAATCAATAAGACTGTTTAAAATTCAAAGACCTGCAAATCGTTCTGTTTGTCCTTTGATAGGGCCTGGGCTGATTAAAATGCGACCAAGAAAGCTTAATTGCTGCACTAATTAAGAAGTCTTTAATTTCTTTCCTGGAATATTGTTTGAAGCAGGGTTTCTGTTCTGCTCATGTAGCTGTTCAGGGCAGGTATTCTCTCTCTCTCTCTTCTTTTTTCTTTTTACCATTTTGGTATATTAAAATGTATGTTAAAACAGTAAGATGTATTGACAGTGATTGTAATTTATTGCTTTTAAAAAAAGACTGATATGGAGTTCACTATTTTATTAAATTACAATTTTGAGGGCAGCTGTAAAGGGTAAAATGCAATTACAAAATGCATTGTAGCTGTTGCATTTTAAGGAATTTGAGCACTTGACTGACAGGAGCTAGGCTAGTACACCAGCTCCCTCCCCCATCTTCAGTTATTATTGATAATTAAATATTTAAATTTATTCAGTAAAACACCCCAGAAAAGTGTTTGTCTTCTGAACATGTGTGAAGGAATGGACCGGGAGAGGGGATGCAACAGAAGATAGGCACCTGGTAAGGATGAGTATTACCATGTTAAGTTCATCTACAATTTTTTTTCCCTTGCATTTCTTTGGAGTTTATTTTCCTGAGAAATACCTTTCTGTCTTGTGTCTTGTCTTACCCTTGTATGGTGACCTATTTTGTTCATTGCTTCTGAAGGGGAGAAACTAGATGATTTGACAAAGCTTTCAATAGAGTGATCAATAGAGTAATGTTTTAGGTTTAATCATGCTGCATTATAATTCTTGCAAACAGCTGCCGAGCAGAGATTCTAAGAAATGAGCAAGTGCTGGCAAAGAGAAGGTAAGTTCTGCTTTGCTTTAATCTCAGGTCTCGAGCAGCAATCCCCCTTTGAAGAGCTATCTGCTATTTAGAGGGAAGACTGAGAAAGAGGGAGGGACCTCATACAGAATCCCCCCTGCATCGCTCAGGAAAATAGACTCATAGAAATGTAAGTGTGTGAAAAGGGATCCTTCTTTGCTTCTCTTCCACCAAGACATTTACTAAACATTGACAAACACCATGAATACATTTGAGATTGATGTGAAATGTTGTATCAGTAGTAAGAAACTGGATACTGCAGTGCTGTTTTTCTAATTGTTGTGTTATAGTCAAAGTAGCACAAAACCTTGTCCAATACAAATACAAACTGGATTCCTTTCAGTGACAGGACAAGTAGATAACATGCTTAATAGATACAAAGGGAGATTTGCCATTCCAAGCACGACGTCACGCTAATTATGTTTACTCTAATTGAAAGCAAGGTTTTGGGGAACCTGAAATTACTCATAGGATATTTTTAATAGCTGAATAATAATAAAGTGCAGCAAACGTTGATCACAAACCTTTTGGTCTTTCAAAAATCTATTGGAAAATTAAATGAAAAGTGGAGTTTGGTACAAACAATGCCCCAGGGCAAAAAAACAACTAACACTAGATTTTCCAGTCCAGCCATAACACAAATCAATTTGAGCACACTTCTATGGCCAGACTGCCAGATTGTTATGACTGCTAATTCACTCAATCAAACAGTACATTAGTACACTGGGCACAAACAGCTTTAACAATAGCATGCATTTCTGAGCAGTCCACCATATATCATAAAAAATCCAAAATACATGGCAAGATTGCTTTCACATTCTGTTTACTACAAATTGCATTTGCATATGGTGCCTGCCCAGCAGAAGAAGAAAAAAAAAAGTGGTGGAGGAATGAAAGTGAAGAAACTTCTGGAGCCATTAAAAAATAACTTTTAAAGTCCTTAAAAACGAGATTCTGGGAGCACTTGCTCCTGCTTGCGCTGGTGTTTAATGTGAACCTCTCAGCCGGAGAGCTGACAGCAGAGGCTGGCCATCCCATGCACAGCGCTGGATGGGGAATTGCTGCGGGCTTGGCAGCTCGCACACGCCCTGCCTAGCCCCAACCCGGCACTTCAGCGCTAGAGCGGCTTTTGCCGGCTTTACTCCGCCAGTCAGCTCACTGGCTCCCAGGGTATTCCCCGCCTGAGCAGAGGGGCAGGATTTAGCCCCAGGGAATATGCCTCAATTCTTCCCCTTCATCCCCAGGAGCAATGGGCGTTATCCCCGGGGATGCTAACTGGGGATCCGACCAGGGGCGCGCTGTACTGGGGGATGCGATAACCGACGGCTCGGGAGCCCTCTCGTCCCTTCCCTCCTTCCTCGCCGGCATCCCACACACGAACACACGCACGCCCCACGCACATGCCCACGCACAAGCGCATATATGGAAATTGCAAAAACCAAACGCCAATTAAGCTACTTGCTTATTTACGAATTTTTTTCTCCCCTTAAATCGCTATTCTGACTTCAGAAAAGGCGTTTGGAAGTCAGTAACTAAAACAGCCCTTCTGTCGATCTGAGCCTCTCGGTCACGTTGCTGCTACCAGAGCCACATGGTGAAACGGATCGGGTCGTGGGCTGGCTCGGGATGGATGGATGGAAGGATGGGTGGATGGATGCTTGGATGGATGGATGGAGCAGTGGCTGGGCACTGCCTGCTGACATTCACCTGACAGCTGACAGCCGAGCAGGAGAGCTGCAGCGCGGGGAGGAAATGATAACCAACTTCCCTGCGTGCTTTAAAAGAGGGCTAGGATAGACGGGGGGCCCTCTGTGATGTTTAAGTTAGGCTTGGGCTGTCATTAGAGGTGCTCAGTCCAACGTGCTAATTCACCTACCAACAGGTAGGAAGAGTCGCTCGGAGCAATAATTATGAAGTACAAAGCCCTTGCCATTAAATTATGTTAAAGCGGTGATCTAATCTGAGCTGCCCTTTGCCGTGCCTTCCCCCCTTTACAGAATTAGTTCGCTCAGCCGCTCTATCCCTCGCTCCCAACCCAGGCTAATCGGAGCGCTGGCACCGGGGAGCCGGCCCCGGGTTCAGTGCTCCAGGCTCTCCAGTGCGGTCTCCGCCGGTGCAGGGGCACCGCTCCTCCTGCTCCGTGCCCGGGAGCTGGGGCGAGCGGCTGAATCCTCCTCCCTGCGTGCATCCTCGGCCCCGCCGAGCCCCCGGTGCCGCCGCCGCCCGCGGGGCCGCGGGAGGGGAGGCGGGCGGCGATCGGGCCCCGCGCCCGGCCGGGCGGAGGGCGGCGGCTCGGCTGCCGCTCCGGCGCTAATTGCTTCCCGTAACAATATTAATAACAACGACAGAAAACGCACGTCGCTGCCTTCTTTTTATATAGGAACTGACAGCCTGCGAGACGCAGCCTCTTCTTCCTCATGTCACTTAAGTGAATGGAAAACATTTGGGGGGGAAGGGTGTTGCCTTTATTATACCCATGTTTCAAAAAAGCAGACGAACATTATTGGTTTTTTGGGGTGGGGGTGAGGAAGGATTTTTAAAAGTCCGAGCCCTTGCTTGAAAAGTTTCGGCACAGACCGGAATTTTATAGAGAGTTATAAACTCTGGGTAAAGGGGGATGTTATAAATGGAAGTGCTGACACAACCTTAACTATGGCGTGTAAACGGCTATGCTATAATATCCATTAAGCAGAAAGAAAAATAAGATGG